CCAAATTTGGGGCGTTGAGTCCAGACGGTCATGGGGCCATCTAGCAGAGTTTAGCAAAAGAACCCCATATCCGATTTGTGGGTTAATGGGCATCTTCTCCCCCCTTTTTGAAGAAGAGAGTCATGTTGGCCAAAGAGCCTTGGAACTGGGTTAATGGGTTTGATCCTGGCTCAGGGAAGGAAGCCAGAGGCTTTTGTGCACTGCATTTCTCCCGGGGAACTTAGTGTCCACTATCCCCCCCCTTTCACAGTGGGGTTCCTAACCCCCTTCCCGCGAGCCCCGGCCTGTGCCCATTGCGCTCACAGCCCTCCCCTCCATGGACAATCAGCACGGGAAAGTACAAGGCATCCTGGTAGCACGGGGGACTCTCCAGGGGCTCCGTCTCGATACTGCTCCCCACATGGCTTCCGCTCAGGCTGCGGAGGACCCCCCCACACCGCCGTGCACCACTCAGGGAGAAGCGGCTGCAGCTGAACGGGAGGCGGGCATAGAGAGCCCGGGTGCCCCGGGAGGGCAGGGAGTTGCTACTGACAGTCCGGCGACAGCGCTGGCAGCTGCGGAGGTATGCCGCGCCCGCCACCGTGGTGGAGTCCATTAACACTGCCTCGGAGTAGCTGGGCACCAGCTGCTGGTTGGAGCGGATGTGCCATTCCAGCTCGGTCATGTCCACGGTGTTGACGCGCGAGATTCGCCGCCCGTAGCCCCCCGCGGCATCCAGGGGGCTGGGCCCATCGTCTGCCCCAAAGAGTTTCTCCACGTGGTAGTGGACGTTGGCCGTACGGTATTCGGACAGGACCCGCAGTGGCCAGGAGAGCAGGAGAAACGATGCCACCCAGAAGACACAGCGGCGCGTGTACCAGGGCGGACGCCCTGGGTCTGGGAACACCAGCATGTGCTCCTTGAAGTCCACGTTTTTGAGGTGCATCCCCTCGCGGGCCTCCATGTAGTCATCCAACCCCTCGTTCTCCCCGAAGAACCGGGCCCTCTGAGTCAGATAGGCCGCTTCGGCCTCCCCAGTGGCGAAGCTGAAGCACTTGGTGAAGCGGAGTTTGGTGACCGGGTAATCCGAGAGGCCTAGCAGCTCCTTGGAAACGTCTTTCACCCCGTGGCCCGAATAGTCGAATTCCGTCTCGGACACGTGGGTATTGACCCGCTCGTGGTAAACTTGGGTAGTGGTGTAGGCGTCCCCGTTGCGATAGCGGGTGACTTGCCGTGTCCGGCGGATGTAGTGGTAGCTGACGGCCTTCCACCAAATGCAGGGCGTGGCCTGCTGCATGCGCTGGACCTTGTCGTAGACACTCGCCGTGTCCACGCGGTACTGCATCTGCCCCTTGGCGAACCGGTGCCAGCATTCCACCAGGTAGACCACGTAGAGCATGCCCAAGAAGGCCAGGGGAATGTAGATGTACCCATTGGAGCACGGGCTATCATGGTACACCATCGAGGCCCCCCGGTAGGAGCTGTCGTAATTCAGCCGGGTGACCGTGGAGAGGCGGCACCAGGCCATGACGCCGAAGCAGCCGAACATGAGGAGGGTGAGGACGAGACATTTCCAGTGTGACTCGCGGCACAGCGAGCTGCTGAGAGACTGCTTCAGAGGACGTTGCTGACGGCCGAGGGAGAGAAAGGTGGGGAGAAGGGAGGAAAGGATAAGAATGCGTTTACAGAGCCGATCCTTCTCACAAAGACTCGAGACCCCCGACCCGGCAGCTGTCCTTCCACGCGCAGAGGCCCCTGCGGATTTCTAACACAACCACCGAGGAGACCAAAAACCGCAGGCCGAATTGAGCCGTGGAAAGGGCGCCAACGCCTTCTGTCTTTCCGTATCCTGGCATCACAACAGGCGGGGGCTGACTTAACAACCGGCTCGGCGTTGAAATGTCAGACACCCTGCAATCACTCCTTCA